GTAGGTTATTCTCGTTTGATGAGCATTGGTGCCAAGAGCCTGTTTTCATTTAGCGGGAATGACCACGATTTATTCCGGCCCAGGTAAATAGACTTAGTCTGCCAAAAGCTGTCAAGCTCTAGCAGCACGAGGGGCAACACCGCGCGAGTTGGTTGTCCAAGTCGTCTGTTTCGAATGCGAGGAAAGGTAAATGTTTTTATTGTTGTTCAGAAATATACCGTATCTAGACGAATAACACGTCTGTGGTATCACCATCTGACAGCGTTGCTTTCAAAGATTGTCTTAACAATGTTCACATTTCAGCGTTTCACTAATGTGTACAAATTGTTCTGCATTCATAGGTTGTTATTTATTGTATGTGGTTAAATTCCAGTGATGTAACCCGGTCCCCCCTGTAATGCCTTCGGGCCCTGAGGGAACTTTTAAATAAATAAATAAATAAATAAATAAAAGTATTGTGCTCATTTCCGTCCCGTACCAGTGCCTTCAAAGCACTTGTTTGGGCGCGTTGCTTCATCCCGTCAGTGCCACAACTCGGCCAACAACGGCATGTTGATGTATGTTCTCCAAGAATGGGCAGGCATTCCTGGTTTTGTAAGAAGTACTAAAACATCAAATCGTCGTTTACTTTTTTTTTGCACAGTCTTAAATACTGCACGCCTTAAATCGCGTATACCGTAAAGTCTCGTATGAACGCCTGCCCCCGAGGAATCACCCATCCCGTTTTCTTTGCTGAATATCCTTAAAGGAGCTGTGCAACATTTTCAGTGATTTGCTTAAATAATTTGGGAGTTGGTCTCTCGACCTTTCTGAAATAAAAAGCAAAAATACCGCATTTTCCTGCATGTTCTAGTTTTCATTTTAAAAATGGGCAAAGATTGAGGTTTTTGGCATCTCTCAACTCATTCACCATCTTCCGAGTCACGTGCGCTGTGATGTCAATGGGGGTCACGCGGGGTTCCGGTGAAGCTCTCTCCCTTGAGCCATCAGTGAGCAGCGAGAACTCATCCGCCAGCGACCGCGTGACCACGTGCTGGCAGGCGCAGCGCGAACAATATGGTGAAAGGAGGAAAGTCTCATCCGGGTCCGGCCATACTTGTGCGGCTCTGTCCCCCTTCCCCTCCGGCTTCTGGCGGCTGTTCGCGGTGGCAGATACAGCTGACGGTTTTGTGGACCTAGGATAGATGGCGCCACTACAAATCCGTATAATAAACCATAATAAACGCTTTTGTAAAAGAACTTGTTGTTGGGCTAGTGGGTGTTGACTGTATTGAACCATAGTTAAAAGCGGTAAAAAAAAGACGTACACAAGGCAGAAGACAAACACATCGCGCGTGTTTGTCTTCTAGCTTGCGTACGTTTTTTTTTTTAGCGCTTTTAACCATGGTTGAATAAAATGAAAGTTTCGTCCATGATACCAGGTTTTTGACGCATTTATATTTATGTTGGAACAACAAGGTTTATAGAAAAGTTACCTTTTATCGAGCAGGTATTCGCACAACTTGCAATATTTATACAAGATTCCCCATCGACGTCACGCCGCGTGTTTCTCATAGTCGCCGCTCGCGGCCGCAGGTTGGGAAATATTCTCATTTTTGCCTCGCGATCACGCGGCGGAATCGCAACATTTCGAAAGAAGGAGGTGTGTTTTCTGTTCTTTGTGACAAGATGAACAATGTCAAATTTCGAAGATGCCAATTCTTTCAACGTTAAAATCGCTGGACAGCTCATTTAACATAAAAAATTCCAAAACACTAACCTAAAGCACTTGTGACTTTAGCTGTTAAAAAATAGGCTTTATTTTTGTTGTTGAAAAAAAAAAGTAGTCTTCAGTGTCAGCCAGGAAGACCACACTTCAAATATTACGACCTAGTTTTGTCTAAATGTTCGTTAAAGGAGCTGTGCAACGATATTCAATTGGAATGTTTTTCTCTCTACACAAGCTTACTGGCACTAGTGGGAGTCAAGGATACTCACACGCAACGCGACTGGCCAAGAAACTCGTTTGGTGTGGTGTAATTTCAAGGACAAAAGCGATCATTTTCATTCAATCTCTCCTTTGCAAAATTTGATGACGTAACTCGGGGATCGCAGTACACCCAAGTGACGATATTTGAATGCGGTTCATAGATTGGACCCGAGCATTGCGTGGGCACTCGACTTGGGCTCGTGACAATTGCTAGCTCGAGAAGCGTTCGCGTTGTGACCCTTGTCCAATCGCTGCAACGACGACAACAGCCGAGCCATAACAATGTCTGGAACTCAGCGCGTGTCCTGCGCTTTGCCAACCCCAGCGCGTGGCTATGATCAACACTAGCGGCATATAATCGGCTCCAGATCACGTGGCCGCTTGTTCTGGCTGCGAGTTGAGGGGGTGAACGCTGCTCGTTTTTCTTAAATTTTTTTCTGGGACTTCTATTGCGTGGGGTGAAAAACGAACGCGTGTTTCATAGGTCATTAACGTTAGGGATCCGTTTTTAACGGTATTTGTGCACAGTACAAAAATTGTTGCACAGCTCCTTTAAAGAAAGTGGAAAGTTGGGCCACTTGGTTCATGGTTCTTTAAATAATTAAAATCACCGAAAAAGACAAGGACAAAGAAGTGGAACGGCACAAGGCGCATTTGAAATAACGCAATAACGTCCTGTGGGAAGCATCCACGTCGAATGGCATACGTATAGATCCTAGCCCGGCAGCGCGACACAGCAATTAGGTTAATTAAGGAATACACCGACTGATGATGGATGGGGGAACAAATAAAAGAGCGCGTTGTGAAAGAAATAATTTGCAGCAAAGTGGAAAGTTGGGCCAGTTGGTTTATGGTTCTTTAAATAATTAAAAGTTAAACGTTCAGGGGAGCTTTGCAACGCGCCGAGTTGCCGAAATCTGCTTACTCTAGCGGCCGAATTGAGGCGCAACCAACAGCGCAGTCATGCCTACAACGTGGGCGTAGCCAGCATTGAGCTAAACGCCATCACCATTGCCTATTTGTGTTTATTTTTACTTTTCTGTGCAATCGTAATGGGTGACGTCAGCAGAGCCCCCTCTCAGCGCTCAGCGGTGTCCACGTGATTGGCGGAACGCCCCTGTGCAGCGCGCTTCTTGGGAGCCGTCCGGCCGTCCCGCTGTTACTTTTCTCTCATTGTTTGCGATTATTGTCTCTGGGAATTTCGTTCCCATTACGTGCCCAGACTCATGCCGCAGTTGTGCAGACGTCGTCGAATGTCGCAGACGCCAAAATATTGTGAAGGGTGCGGTGCATAAAACACTTGCGCCTGGCTCCCGCCCGCCCTAATCCCACCCGTCGTTGTATAAAGGATCACGTGGCATCTCGTTCCACGTGATAGCCATGGTCTTGGCGGCTCGAGGCGAAGGTTGCCAAACGGAGCCGAAGTTTCGGTTTAGAGTTCTGCTCATTTGTCATGTGAGATTCAACAATATATATCCCATTTTTGGCGAAGTAAATGATGTAGTGCGCCTTTGTTAGTACCTTTTAATTTGAAATCACTCATTATCCCGAAATTGTCCGAATTGACGGAGTGGCGCTTTAACGTAGCAAATTTCTTCTACTATTGCTGAACAACATGATGCTGTTATATCAAATATTTTCGTAAGCCCACGCACAACAGAGTAGCAGAGACCACTCACGACCAAGGAGCTTTTTTGTTTACGTGCAACCTCACCATGCATACCGTTCGGCTTCATTATAAATGTTATAACTTTCTTTTCATGTCATGAAGTTAATTTGAAATTAAATAACTATTTCTTAACGATGCTCTGATGTCTCGATATTACATTTATTCTTAGTTGTTAGTTTATTATTTAACTTTCAATAGACCACTGTTTCTGATATTGAACAATTGTTTTCTCTACTTATAACGTTCGAATGTCGAGGATAATTTACGCGAGCGGTGAATTAAATATAGTGAATGAAATTGGTAAGCAATGAGCTGTACAGAAATTGTACATTTTTAAATAAAAAACACATTTTAAATTAGGGTAATTCTCTCGTGCAATAAGGCGGAATCAGGTGAACTAACGAAAATAATGAGACATTAAAGTATGAAGCATCTTCTGGTTTTACATTTTTCAGAAACTGGATATCGATAGGTTAGACGTGAATTTCAGTATTCAATCGCAAACGTTTTCTATTCAGTTATGGCTGGTTCCAGTTTCCTAATATCAGACACAAATGGCGACATGTGTTCACCAGCCTGATTTGCACTTGTCGTCATGTGCCGCTTGGAACACCAGGCGAGAAACAGAAATGGCACCAGACGTGTGAATGTTAGATGTCTGAATGCCCGCAGTGAGCGATCCTGAGATGGGAAACCAACAAGCGCGAGGCTGCAAGTTGACCACAGCTGCTGCGCTGTGGTTTAGGGGACCAGAGGACTAGGATTAAAAGAGTCGCCATTACATCACGACGATTTTCACGTTTTGTTCGGACCACATATCCTGGAGGTGCGAGCTGATAGCGTAGGCAGCTGCTCCTTTGCAAGAGGATAGGTGCAGCGGGGCCGCGCTCCCCAGAAAGCTTGTCCATCAAAAATAAGTGAACGGCCAGGGATGTCAATTTCAAGAGAAAAGTAAAGAAAGATACCACACTGTATCGAAGTGCAACCACGCACGATTTATTGCATTCGTGCATGGATCTGGAAGGCGACCCCATCGCCATCTGTTGGGTCAGAACTGCACTAACCAAGGGTGGGCTTAGCGGCTGGGAGTGCGTGCACTTCTCCCGAAAATAGCATACGGCCGGTAGCTTTCTCGCGGATGTATAAGAGGAAAGGTCTCTCCACGGCAAAGGAATGTGGAGCACGTTTTTCCATTACCACTACTGTTGCGCCGGTGCCAACCGTTCCTTCTTCGTTGACCTCAATGGCTGCCTTGTGCTGGACTTCGGTTACCCTCAGCCCTCCATCACCAGTGATTCCCTACAGATCGGCGTCAGAGAAGATTGAACGCACACCCATCTTCTTCAGGGCAGGGACGAAGCCCTACTCTGTTTTCAAGTCGAACTTGGGAAGTTGAATTTTGGCAGTCTCATCTTTCAAACTTCCCTGGATTTGTTCTATGCTCTCGACAGTCATGGCGTCGCGGAGTTTGGGAAGTTCCTTTTTTTCACTTGGAAGTATGATTACCATGCAGTGTTGGTCCCCTTTGTAAGACAGGTCTATGGCTTCAAACTGGGGTTCAGAGGTGAACGGTACCTTAGCCAATCGCGTCATGGTTTCTACCATAACCACCTCAGCTCCTTTGTTATGAAAAGGAAGAATGGAGGTATTGTTGGGATCGAAAGAGGTGTTCCATAGCCCCTTGAAGTAAATGGCATTGAGAAGCGCCATTATGGTGTTTGGGGGAATTTCGAAGCCCGAAATCTTGCCTCTGGTCTTGATCTTCACCCACTCGTTAACCTCGGATTCCATGGCAGAATTTCCTGCGCCAACGTCCACCGACCGGAACATTGCCGCAAAAATGTCAACAAGCTCTTTCTGCTAACTTTCGAGGACGTTCAGTGTTTTCTTTACAAACACTGCATTGGCTATCATCAAACTTACATTGCAATCAGCCTGCTGTTCTGCTAGAATCTTTTTGTAAGACTCCAGGAGATATTCTCTGCTGGACAGTCCCGCTGCGGTGTGGCCGAGAGCAGTGGAAAGTTCCGCTTCGGACTTGCCCCTGGCTCCGGCGTAGACCATGGCGAGTGCGACAGAGATGCTGGTCGGCGAGAAGATGTTCGATTCTAGCTTTTCGCTGGAGAGTTCTTTGAGAAGCTGGAGGGAAAAATGGTTCTGGGCACGGGCGAGCTTCATGTCGCTATCTTCAGCATAGCATTCCCTATTTCCCGCTAGCAGAACGAACAAGACGAGGAAAACCTTTTCCGCAAGCATCATCGAAACTGGACTTTCGCCTGTTTTCCCACGTTCCTTATTGTGTGTACTTATTCATTCATGAACAATGGGCCTCTACGATGGTGCGTCGGAATATTTAGCCTATGAAACAATACACATTCATGTATATTTGATAGCTTCCTGTAAGTTGTTCGTCAGTCATGGAGACGCGGAATCCGTAATAATAAATATGCGCAACATTCAAATCCCAAGAATACTAATTTTATTTTCATATGATTGTGATCCGTGTTCGAAGGCGGTCATTTAGTTTTTGTAGCTTTTGTCAGGTTCTCCACTTGCTTGCGTCACTTGTTTTGTGACATCGTTAAAAAATCTGAGAGGAAACATTTTTAAGGTGTACATTTGTGTTGATTACAATTACAAGCTGAGCGGTCAGAATTTCTGCGATTCCTAATTGAACTCCAAGAACAAAAACCACGGCAAATGAACTGCTGTTTTAATTTTTTTTTTGTATCTAACGATACGTGCAATTCGTAAAATTAAGTATGTGCAACCATCAAGCCCCAAGACAAATGATTTCATATTCATATTATTGTGATCCGCGTTCGAATGCTGTCATTTGGTTTCCCGGAGCTTTTTTTAGGTCCTCCACTTGCTTGCCTCGCTTGTTTTATGACGTCCTTAAAAGGGCTGGGAGGAAACCTTTTTAAGATATACTATGGTGTTTATTACATTTGCAAGCTGAGTGGTCAGAATTTCTGTGATTTGAAATTGAACTAAAGGAACAATAACCGCGACAAATAAGTTGCTGTGTGTTTCTTTTTTATTTTTTTTATTTAAGCGTGTCTCACCGGCCTTTACACCTAGGGAGACAGAATCAGAACGCATTACTTCCTATGCGGCATAGGGTTCAGAGCAGTATGAGAGTTGATGGTCTAGGTACGGAAATCAGCAGCTAAACGGAAAACAAAAGAACACAAAACAACCTGGTCTAGAGCACGCAAAAAAAAAAACAAAAAAAACAACAAAAAAACATCTGAGTAACTAAAAATGAATTCAACAAATACTTGCGATATTTAACTGCCTTGTCATTACACGCGTAATGCAAAAATTATATGATCCTTCAATATCAAACTAAAAAACAAACCAGTTGACTGCCGCTTCCGCGGCGATGTTGGGAACGAACGCTGCTGCCACGAGGACCAAATGAGTTCGAGCCCACTTGGACTGGATTTTTTTTTTTCTTCTTAAGGCTGCGGTCCCACGGCGGCCATGACATATGACGCTTTCCGCAGGTTTTCGAAATGCGATTGTGGCGTGTTCAAGCTTTCTAAAATTATGTGTTATATATCATCTTGTCCTGTACAACATTATCTTTTTTCTGATGTAGGATTTGCTTTCCTAGTGCAAAACGCTAATTCAGTGGGCACCCGCGAACATTGGCCTTTTCGGAAAAACACGGTATCGTAGTACAGTGGTACAGGGTGCACAGTTGGAGCAATTTATTTCAAATTTTAGAATGTTATAGAAGAAGAGTGCGTTCATTGTTATTAGAGGCCCTTTTTTCGTTTTTCATTTTATTTTGACAGATATTTACTTTAAAAATTGTACCTCGCGGAAGCACATTCAGTCGCGGATTTTTGGCCGCCTACTCGGTCATTTTATTTGAAACTTTTTACATGTGTTTGCAACTATGGTAGAAAGAGCTACGCTAAATTTCATTGTAATATGGCCTAAATTTTTTGCGGAATGCTCACGTGAAAAGTGACAAAAACAGTTTTTTTTGGCAAACTTCATTTGGTAGTACAGTGGTACAGCGCCTAGGGATTGGCACATTTGAATAAAATTGTAGACCTGCAAAGAAAAACATATTCTGCTTTGTCATTAGAGGCCCTTTTTCTAAATTTCACCTTTGCGTTTCCATAAAAAAAGTTTGAATATAGGCGAAATCACGAATTTGTTGATAGTCAAAACCGAGTATTTTGACCCTTTTTGGCAGACATTTAGGCCGATATTTTTAGTATTAAATGGAGATTACTGTTCCAGGTCCTGATTATTAGCCCACATTTTCACTAATCGAGCCTATTTATTAAAAACAATCATAAAACATACAGAAAACACAAATTGGATGTCTGGTTGCGCCCTCTATGTGGCGGTGGCTGAAATGTGACTACGCGAGGTTCAGAAAACTGCCGAGGATGGCGCTGATTCCAGCTGTGGTTGCCAGCTTCGGAAACTGGTTGTACACTTGGCTTCTTCCGTTTCTTGCAAAATAACGTGCTGGAAAACTTGGTCGAAACTCGTGAGGTCCTTTATAACACGGTACTTTCTGCTAATATAGCTTTTAGGAAGAATTTCAGTCGCTTTCATATTGTCAAACGATTTTCTTTTTTTATGCGAGGCTCCACCGGTTCAGTTTGCTGAATAAATTGTTCACGCAATCGATATCGAAGTTTCAAATTACCGAAATGCCAAAATCGCCAGTTCCGCGTAGATACGCAGCGTGACGCACGTGCTTCTGGTGCGTGTGCACGTACGTGTTTGCTGCGTGGTTCTTCGGTTGCTGCGAGTTTTCGCGTATTTATTGTGCACTGCTTACCTCCGTCTGCGCACGCCTCTCATCCTTGTAACTACCCCTGCTCTGTTTGCCTAGAGTGAAGTTTGTGTCTGTCTTTTCGTTCGCTGACTAAGCTCGTGTCGGTGTCCTTCCTACTGGCTGCTGTTCGTGTTTGCGTACCGTGTGTGTCGCTTTGATTACTAGGTCCCCTGCTTATGGGGTGGAGCAAGCGGTGGGCGTCGCGCCAGGGGTGGGTCGTGATTGGGGAAACAGCTTAGCAGCCGACGCCGACTTCGGCGCGTTTCTTCTGCGCACGCGCGTACTGTCATTGATATCGCTACTTCGCGCCGTGACGATGCGCTGATCTACAGGCCGGTCGGCGCTCGCGTGATATTGTTGAAAATTCTCGAGCGTGTATTTACGTTTCGAAAGCCATAATAGAATTAAAGTGACTATTTGGCCGGCAGCCGGCATACCGTGGCTCTGAAAACAAATTGCTAGGAGTGTCCTCCCATTCGGGTGCGCGCAGTCCGTGCTTCTGGCCGCCCCGGCCGCCCAAATGCGTTTTTCTGATGCTTGATTTGTTTTCAGTAAACAGACAATAGATTCCTGCTGATATTCTCCTTGATAATCTTCACTCTTGACAACTCTTTAGTGTTGGAAGGAACTCCGTCAAATTTGACGATAATGCATGTGTAAGTACAACTGGAACCTCATAGTTGCAAGAATACTTTTCCTGGATTGTCTGCATTAGAGTGCCTCCATGTACGCTTCGCGCACATGAAGGCTCCCTAGTCTGCACCTTTCTGATAATATGATCGGTCTCCATAAATTGCACTTCCCCGCTTCGGGAGCACGGCCAGCGGTGGTTCTCTGTCGGTCATCAAACCTCACACACGTGAAGCGTTGTCAAAGCTGTGATATACCGGGCGTTTTATTATTATGTTTTGTTTTGTTTTGTTTTTTAGAGCGCAGCTCTTAGGGGCCCGTTCCCGGCTTGAGCGGCGTCGCCGTCGGCGTCGGCGTCGGCGTAACCAAGGTCATCCCAAGGTCACGTGACCCCCAAGGTCATCTCAAGGTCACGTGACCCCACGTGACCCCCTGAAGGTCACGTGACCCCTCGAGGTCACGTGACCCCTTCCAAGGTCATCTCAAGGTCACGTGACCCAAGATGACCCCACGTGACCCTTTGAAGGTCACGTGACCCCCAAGTCACGTGACCCCTCTGAGGTCACGTGACCCCTGAGGTCACGTGGTCGCCTCCCCAAGGTCACGTGACCCCCGAGGTCACGTGACCCCTTCCAAGGTCATCTCAAGGTCACGTGACCCCACGTGACCCCCAGGTCACGTGACCCCTCTGAGGTCACGTGACCCCTCTGAGGTCACGTGACCCCCCGAGGTCACGTGACCCCTCCAGGTCACGTGACCCCAAGGTCACGTGGGGGTCACCTTTGGGGTCACGTGGCCTTGAGGTCACCCCCAGGTCACGCCTCCCCGAGGTCACGTGACCCCCTCCCCGAAGTCACGTGACACCCCCCCCAGGAGCATATTAAAGAATGAGGGGAGGAGGAGGAGAAGGGGGAGGGGTCTACCCTCCCCTCAGTACCCTTCACTCCTCCTCCTCAAGAGCTGCGCTCCAATTCGGCGTTACAGGGATTTGTAAACGGCTTCCACTTTTTTTTGCTGAAAGAAATTATACTTTTGGCATTCCCGGGGATAACATTATCGGCTGCGGCGGACGTAAAGGAAGGAGCGTAAATTGACAGTTAGTGGCCTAATAAACTAAAATTTGCCATTTGCGAACGCTGGAGAGGGGGCAACCTCCTCTCCCCCGTTCGCTCCGCTGAAGTGGAACAGGGTGGGAGGAGCTCCCACTTCGTTCTTGACCTTTCACTGACTACAGTTGCGAATTCCACTTATCATTTTGGAGCGATGGCGAGATAGAGCTGAGTCAGGTATTCCGTTCTCTGAGATGAAGAACGCAATGCGCGCGGAGTTGCTCCACGTATGCACCAGT